ATGATCAAGAATAAGAAAGAATGTTGAAGAAACTGAGAAAGAAAAATAACTCAGTTTGTCTTCTGAAAGACTCAGTTCTAGGATATGGATTAGATGTCAAGGTTTCACTGGAAAATATCAACATTTTCACAGAAAAAGTGTTCACGCATAGGAAAAAAAGGAGTTATGGTAATGCAACATATTATCATAAGATCTAGATTTTACCTTGGGGGGTAGGCTGTACAGAGACATGGGTCAAAAAGAACAGGTTGTAAGTTTATGAAATGCACTATCTTTACCTTTATTGCACAATAAAAGTGATGACTCACAATACTCATGGTTCTTCTGCAGTGTATTCCTTGCATTAAGACTATAAATTCTGAACTTCTGATTAATGGATGATTACCCATTGCTTAACAAAGTAGGATGAACTTTATTATGTTAAGTGACATTTATTTTGGTAAATAAATTACGAGTGTATAAAAGTTGAGCTGTAATTTAAGAATAGTATATTTAAACCAAAATAACATTATGCTGTTTGCTAATATCAGACAATTAAGCTTGAAATACTTAGTATAATTTATTTTACTTATGTCTAACTTGAAAATACCTGTCTAGGATTCGAGATACTTTTGATATTATAACTGCAGTCACAGACAATTCATTAATAAAATTGAAATCTAAAATGCATTTTTTTTCCTGTTCTGTATCTCCAGGCATAGTAAAGTTAAAAAACCCTCACATATTCATATTTCTCCCTTGTTTTTTTGATATTGCATCATATTGATCATCAGAATACAGAGACAATGAAGCATTGAGAAACTAAGTAGCATACCTATAGTTACTCAAAAATCATGTAGAGAGCAGTACCTTAACCTGAGCTCTAGCAGGTTCCAGTAGTAGTCTAGTAGACTACAGATCTACTCCTACCTCTGGATCATCCTGGGAAAGAAGACAAGTTTCCTGTTGTATCTTTTGTTTCAAGGACCAAAAAAAGGCAGTTGTAGCACAGAGACAAGTCAGAATAGGAAGCAGATTATTCATTCAAGAACGCTTTGGCAATATCTATCTCCATTTGGCAGTATGGTGACAGCATTGTCATCGACTATAGCAGTGTCATAGATGGAGTTTGAAATCACAAGCCATCAGATGTATAGTGGTAGTTTTTAGTTTAAGGTTATAACGACTAACTGTAATTGCCAAAGAGCTATCTAAGCTCCTGAAAAAATAATGGTAGATGCGGAAAAGTGTAGCCTAGAGACAATTTCAACTTATCAAGGAGGTAGATTTTCCATTGCCTTGATATAGACTTCTAGTTTCATTTAAGCTACCCAGACACTTGAGATGCCTATTTCACGGAT